CTTGGATTACTTTCATCTTTCAGCTATTGTGAGTAATGCTGCTATGAACATGGGTGTACAAATATCTCTTCAAGTCCCACTTTCAACTCTTTTAGTTATATACCCAGAAATGAAATTGCTGGGTCATAAGATAATTCTGTTTTTAATTTTTTGAGGAACCACCATACTGTTTTCCACAGTGGCTGCACCATTTTACATTCCCACCAACAGTGCACAAGGGTTCCAATTTCTCCACATCCCTGCCAACACTTATTTTCTCAGAGCTTCACTGTTAATAAAAGAAATGCAAATTTAAACCACACTGCGATATCATTTTTCACCTATCAGATTGGCAGAGATCAAAAAGCTTGATAACTATCTTGGCAAGAGTGTGGGGAACAAGGATTTTTGTACACTGCCAGTGTGACTGAAATCCATACAGCCTCTATGAAGCGCAATTTTGTAATATCTTCAAATTACACATGCACACACCATTTGACCTAGTGATTAACAATAATTTTAATTAAAACATTTTTTTCAATTACAGTTGACATTTAATATTATATTAGTTTCAGGTGTACAGCAAAGTGGTAGGACATTTATATAATTTATGAGGTGATCCCCCGATAAGTTTAGTACCCACCTGGCACTATACATTGATTATTACAATATTATTAACTGTATTCTCTATGCTGTACTTTACATCCCCATGACTATTTTCTTTTTCTTTTTTAAAGATTTTTATTGGGGAATTGGGGGATGGGAATAGCACTGGGGAATTGGGGGAAGGGAAACAGACAAGTTGCTGTCCTTTTGTTCTTCAGTCTAGTTGTGGAGGACCTTGCTTCACTGGCCCAAGTTGGTACCATCATTGCGCTCTTCCCGGGCGAGGCAGATCATTCATTCGCCGGCTTCTGGACGGCCGCTCATGGTGGCTGCTGGCCGCTCACGCTGGCTGCTGGCTACACACGGTAGCCCATGACAACCCAGTGCAGCAGGGGCTGGCGACTCACAGCAGCCCAGCTCCAGGTTGAGCTGTTGTTCAGCATCTTAGCTGTAGAGGGCAGTGTCACTGGCCCTCATATGTGGGATCCGAACCGGGGCCCTCTGGCGTCCCAAGCCAGCTCTTAACCAACGCGCCACTCGGCCGGCCCTATTTTCATTTTCATTTTCATTTTCTTTTTCTTTTTAGCTGAGCCATACTGCTACCTGTTGACAGCTCAGCAGCAGCTCAGCTCAGGCCGGGAATCAAACCAGCGACCCTGTTGCTCAGAGCTTGCACTTTTGAGCGAGCTCTTAACCAACTGAGCCACTCAGCTGGTCAGTCCCATGACTATTTTCTAACTGCCAATTTGTACTTCTGAGTCTCTTCACTTTTTTCACCCAGCCCTTCACTACCTTTTCATCTGGCAACCATCAGTTTGTTCTGTGTATCTAAGTATGTTGTTATGTTTGTTTGTTTGTTTTTTAGATTCCACATATAAGTGAAGTCATATGGTATTTTTGACCTAGCAATTTCTAAGAAAGTATCCTATTTCCCCATGTTCTTAGTTACATACAGAGAGAGTTGTTACACCATTGTAAGAGGAAAGATTAAAGACAATCTAAATGTTGATGATCCAAATTAAAGATTAAATGAATGAAATTGAAGGAAGTGTCAACTGATGGTGACTTTTGTTATCATTACTTGACTGGATAATAAACTATTTGAGAGCAGGGGACTGGCCTTTGTAGGCCCAAATGGACCTTCGAGAAATAGTGATTAAATTAATAAAATTACTTCTTAGCCCCTGGTAGGAACACCCATCGAATGGGGAATTGACAGGCAACTCAAGAGGTTAAGTGGCTTGTCCAAGGTCATTCATATAATATGTACTACTTAGTCCTTATGTGCAAAGCACAGTGGTAGGCACTGTGAAATATACTGAAATTGAAGAATTGGACCTACTTCCTGAGAGCTTGAGATCTAGTAAAGCACTCTGGCAGACATTGAAAATACCAAGCTTTTAAAATTGTCCTTTCAATTACATCGATGGAGACCATTGTTCTGGTGGATAAATTGAGGCACAGATCAGAGAAGCAACTTCTCAAGGGACATACAAAATGGCAGAAGGAAGGTGCTGATTAAAACAGAAATTACCTTTCCATTTGTGTCCCAACCTTAGTGCCCTAAGAAGCTCATTTCAAGGGACCCACCTCCCACTAGTGTCCCATATACTAGATCAGTCTTCTCCAAGGTGTGCTACATTACAGGTCCTGCGAGATGCTCCTCTAGAAAAGGATTCCCTAACCTAACATGTTTGTGAAATGCTTTACATGTTAGACTATAGGTCCCCGTGCATATAGGTATTTTGTTTTCCTAGCTTTGTCCACTGAGAAGTCCTGACAGCAGTGACACTCCATTAGCAACAAGCACACTGAGCTTTAAAAAAAAAAAAAAAAAGAAATTGAGGTGAAATTCACATATTATAAAATTAAAATTTCAAAGCATACAGTTCAATGTTTTGTACATTCAAAATGTTTTGTAACCAAAACCTCTAATTCCAAAACATTTTCATCATCCTGGCATCAATATTATTCGTATTCCTTTTTATGGCTCAATAATATTCCATTGTATGGATAAACTACATTTTGTTTATCCAGTTTGTTGATTTTTAAAAGTTGTAAGAAGAAAATATACCTGTCTACCTTTGTTTAATGATTCAAGCAACCCTTGTTAACATCCTACAGAAGCACTCTCTGGAAAACACTACACAAGATATTTGCCAATGGCATTGGTCAGGCTTAAGTGAAGAGGGGCCACTTAACACTTAATTGCTCTCCGGAAAGTGTTTGCTCTTTGGTTATTCTTTCAAGTCTGTGTTTTAATTTTTAAAAACCATAACAGCTATTTCATTTTCTCCTTGGAAGAGCCAGCCGGAGAGTTTATTTTTTATTTATTTATTTATTTAAAAAGATTTTTATTGGGGAATTGGGGGAAGGGGAACAGACAAGTTGCTGTCCTTTTGTTCTTCCAGCCGGAGAGTTTAATATCCTCTCTTCATCCATATCCTTCATCCAGTTCCCATCTCTTCACTAGTCCCCCCCGTAGGAAATGCTGGTGGTCACATCCCTTTGCAGGGACGGTACACCCATTCTCCCAGCCTTTGTATTGGCTGCTAATGGCTCACAGCTTCACCCTTCTCCAGAGAATTATCCTCAGTCCATGTGAGCTGCTTCTCCCAGAGATGCCTGGGAAATTATGCTCCTCCTTCCCCACCTCCCAAATGGCCCACAGCCCATGAATGACTGAAGAAGTGTACAAAATCCAGCTCTCTTGCTTCTGAGAGGGACACACCTTGTGGTGCATTTTATATTCCAGCATTCCCTGTAGGATCAGACTGAGATTAGACTTAGCTGAACCCACAGCTTTGCTTGGCTTCTTCATCTGCCCTATCCTGCTTCACTCATTGCCCTAACAAATCATTTGCACAAGAATCCCTGTCTCAGGCTCAGCATCTGGAGAACCTAACTTAAGATATCCCTGTGGGCAGTCCTGAATCCCAGGGGGACTTCCTGCTACCACAGGCAGCCACACATCTCAATCAGGGCCCTGCAGATTGCATCTCCTCCAAGAATGCTTCCCGGACCTGGACTCTCATTCACTGGCTGCATGTTTGTTTGTTTAATAATAAGGAAGTTGGATGCCTATTCTCTGGCCAGGCAGGCACTGTGCTAACTAACCTCTTTATGTGCATTAGCTCATTGAATCCTCCTAAGATAGATTAGGTAAATACTATTATATTGTATGCTTACAGATGAAGAAACTGAGTTTCAAAGGTTGAGTGGCTGGTTCACACAGTAAGAAAGTGATGAGAACTGGGAGGATTAGTCTGATTTCACACCCCTGTATTTAACCACTAAATTCTAACCTATAATACAACATCAGAACATTTTTTTATGGCTTTGTCAGCCCCAGACAGTGGGACTATACACAAAGCAGAGAGCTATGTGTTTTTGTGTCTGCTGCTGACAGGTTGCACTGAGGCCTTCATCTTATTAAAACCCTCCTTGAGTATCTTTGTTTCTCAGGCTGGGAAGTGTGAGTGACCTTGGGACCGCCCCCCATCCCTTCCAGCATGCCTGCCCTAGGAGGTGGGGTGAAGCCCTTGCCTCTGAGCTCCTTGGGGCACGTTGTTTTCCTTGAGCCCCTGTCAAAGGTGCAGCTGCAGGCATCCCTGCCTCCCACTTCACTGCAGAGCGGGATCTGCACTGATGAGAACAGCAGCAGTGGGAGGCAGCTCTTCGCTTCCCTGGGGGCCTCCTGGGTTCACAGAAGAAAGCAGGCACTGAGATGTGGGAAGGAGGATGAGGCCTGGGCCAAGTTAGGAGGGGGAATGACTCTAGTGAGAGAAGACTAAGGGAAGGAGAAGGGTTTGGGGGAAAAGGTGGAGTAGTGGGAGCTGAGCAAGGAACTGCTATTCATTCATTCATTCATCAAATTGTTTTAGCCACCTACAGTGTCCTAGGCACTGTTTTAGTGACTGAGGGTACAACAGTGGACAAATCAAAGACCCTGCTTTAATGGGGCAGCATGGGAATAACAATAAAAATAATCATAATGATAGGTTTAAACAAAACCTTTGAGGCCCAAAGCTTTCCTGAAAGAAAGAGTTTAATGAGCCATATGCTAGCCAGAAAAAGGACCACGTCCTGGAACACAGCCTAAACCACCAGAAGCAGGGCTAGCTGGAGAAAAACATGCCCACAGTCGTGGAGCTGGGGACCTCCTTTATACAATGGATTTGGGGAAGAAAGATGCACATTGTTTTGAAAGAACTTACATTGGCTATAGATGGGGGGGCGTGGGGCAGGGTGACACGAGGGCAGTTCTAGGAGGCATGCATAGTCAGTAAGGAAGAAATAGTTCCTACTTCTGGATGGGTTGTGGGCAACAGGCCAGAAAGCTCATGCATAAGCAGGATGAAGCAGTCTGGTGGTTTGCTTTTTTTTTTTTTTTTAGATAGTCACCTGGAAGTTGCAAGTTTTAACATACATTCAGGAATGTGAGCAGTCTTTAGTTGGTTTTGGCCTGTGGCTCTGTTAATTTATTAACCTCATCACTTCCTCTCACCCTCTGGCCTGTCCTAATTTAATTTAGGACATCTCAGAATTTTTCTGTTGTCAAACGGTTAATACTTTTTGAGCACTTACTATGGAGTCAAGCATTTTATCTTATTCTCACAACAATCTCAGGCATTTGATACTATTACTAACCCATTTTTATAGACGGTGAAGGAGAAACAAAGTACTAACCAAGTGACGGGCCAAGGTTACACAGAGTTAGAGTAGGGTTCCCCATCTTCTTTGAGACTGAAGGCAGGGACTCTCAGGCATACCAGTAAGGACAGTGGTTTTGGAAAGTACATTCTTGTAAGGAAAACTCTGAGACTAGAGATAAAGCTTAAGTTCTCCTTGCCTCTCCCCATTCCTAGCAGTCTCTGCCCCAGGGTGCGCTCCTTTCCAACCCTGTTCCTAGGCATACTATATGTCCATAAACATGATTTTTGACAGGAGAGGCTTCCCGTACATATGTTGTACAATTTGCTTCTTTTCCCTTAGCAAAATGTATTGAACAGTACTGTTTCCTGCTGTACATACAGTTCTACCTGGTTCTAACTACCGAATGGTATTCCATTGCATGGATGTGTCGAGTTTATTTCTCCAGTACCCTAGAGAGAGTTTCTAATTTTCCGCTATTACAAACAATGCTGCCATTCACAACTTTTCCAAAAGTTTCGCAGATCCTTTTCCCACTGCAGAGTTGGCAAGTTTGTCCGGAAGGACTCCCGTGCTGAAACCCCCGAAAGCACTACCAACTGCCAATCCAACGGTAGCTGCTTCTCAGGCAAGGTCTATGATTCCGCCCCCCACCTCCACAACCCGCAAGGAATTTTTTTTTTCTCCGGGAAAAAAGCATCTGCCCCAGGTCCCAGGCTGGCGATTAAGCAAACCCAAAACCTGAAACCTCTAGTCCCAGAAAACGAGCCTGTATCTTTAAGAGGCATTGGTTCCTTTGGGAGTTGTAGGTTTGCTGGCCAACTGAACCGCCTTCTCGCCTCAACTTCCATCTCGATCCGAAGACTCACTGCCGTTTTGGAAAGCGCTTCCTGCGTTCACTATATCCACTGGCCCGCGATAGCTGAGAGTAGGTTTTTGGAAGAGGATTAGCCATGGCTGCCGGAGGCGTGAAACTACATTTCCCAGGATGCGTCGGGGAAGGACGCGCAGCACAGCGCTGAGAGCCCGCAGAACCTAGTACCCGGCGCAGACAGGTACGTGGGTCCCCGAGAGTCCAGCTTTGCACACCTCGGTTCTCCTCGCCACTTCCTGGCCCATCCTCTCCGAGGGGCAGGACTGAGGCAGAGAGTCTTCGGGAACTCTGTGGACGTCCATGGGCGCCCACTGGCTGTAGGGGGCGTCTGCAGGTTCTGTTCCTCCTTTGCCTGGGTCTTTCAATGGGAGTTCCGGGAACGCTGGGGACGGGAATTCGGGCCCCAGGGGCTTTTCATCCCACCGGCAGGTGGGGCACTGAATGCCCGTGCTGCTGCTTTTGTTTTCAGGCCGCTTCTCCTGCTTCAGTTTGCCCCTTGGGGTCTCGTTATTATGCACAAATCTCAATCACAGTAGTCCCCTTTTCATCCACAGTTTGAATGACCTGAGGTCAGCTGTCTGGAAACATTAAATGAAAACTCCAGAAATAAACAATGCATGTTTTAAGTTGTGAGAAGTTCTGAGTAGCCTCATGAAAACCCCGACTGTTCCCTCCTTCCTGGGGCCTAAATCATTCCTTTGTCCCACTTATCCAGGCGGTATATGCTACCAGCTAGTTAGTCACTTAGTAGCCGTCTTGGTTATCAGAGTGACTGTCAGGTACTGCAGTGTGTGTGTTTTAGTAATCCTTATTTTAATAATGGCCACAAAGCGCAAGAGTAGTGATGCTGGCGATTCAGGTATGTCAAGAGAAGCTTAAAGTGCTTCCTTTAAGTGAAAAGGTGAAAGTTCTCGACTTAATAAGGAAAGAAAAAAGTCATATGCTGAGGTTGCTAAGATCTATGTAGGAATGAATCTTCTATCCGTGAAATTGTGAAGAAGGAAAAAGAAATTTGTGCTAGTTTTGCTGTTGCACCTCAAACTGCAAAAGTTACAGCCACAGTGCATGGTAAGTGCTTAGCTAAGATGGAAAAGGCATTATATTTGTGGGTAGAAGACATGAGCAGAAAACATGTTCTGATTGATGGCAACGTGTGATGCCCCAAAGCATTGAGCCTATATGAAGACTTCAGGAAGGGACCCTCTGAAATGAGTGACACCAAGCCATTTATTGCAAGTAACGGGTTGGTTACTCAGATTCAGGAACAGGTTTGGCCTGAAAAATATACTGGAGAAACTGTATCAGCTGATGAAGAAGCTGCTGCCACATTTCTGGTGGAATTGAAGTTAAGGAGAAAGGATACCATTCAAAGCAAGTCTTCATAGGTATTTATGTATATATAGGAAAAAGCATAGTATGTATAAGGTTCTGTACTATCTGCAGTTTCAGGCATCCACTGGGGGTCTTGGACCGTATCCCCCATGGATAAGGAGGGACTATTGTACTTGCCTTTTGTGTAATTTACAATGTGACTTTACTCCCAATCAACTTTCTTCCACCTTTTTTTCTCAAGGCAAATCAGATTCCTCCATGTGCCTGTTTTTTCTCTTTAAAGCTCTAAAATGCAAAGTCTCTGCCCTACCTCTCTTCAAAAAACATATCTGAAGCAACCTTATTATTTTATTCTGTCCCTGGCTCCCCTCCCCTATCCCAGTTTTAGGCAGCATGTTGGAATAGAGGCCTATTTTCTTTTCTGAGTGTCTGTACAGATGTCAGGTATGACAAAAGGCAGAGGCTCTGGGAGAGATGTCTTGTTCCTACAGGGTGGTTAAGAACATGAACCTTAGACTCAGAAACACCTGGTCTGACTGTACTAGCTGTGTATATTATCTTGGGCAGACTATTTCATTTTTTTAAGCTACAGTTTCCTTATCTATACCGTGATTGTAGTAAGATCCAAATCATAGGGGGGAATATTGAGTGGGTCATATGAACTGATACTACGCCTTTGGCGTGGTGCCTGAAAAAAGCACTCTCTTAAGTGTTAGCTACGAGTATCGTTCCACCTTTTGTGTTATCATAAAACACCCTTTTGATTGATCTGGCAAGGCATGCTAACCTGCCTGGCTTGATTTCCCTAGGCATTCCCTGATTTTTTCTTCTTCAGGCATATCTTTGGCCTAGAGAATATTTCAGAGGCTAATTCCCACTGGCTTCAGGTCCAAGTTAAACTCTCTTCTTTCCTTTCCCTGCTGGAGAGAACTACCATTCATTGAACGCCTGCTTTGTGCCACATATTTTGTGTTTTATTTTATGATGACAACAGTTCTAGAAGGTTGGTATCATTGGCCCTGGGGACTTGTCTGCAGAGGTTTTAGGGAGACCAGGGGCTCTGGCGTCAGATTGGTTTCCTATCTGGTAGGAGAGGAATGTTGGAGGATTAGGAAGGGGTGAAGCCATAGCTTTGGGTTCACCCTCCTCTCACTTCTCAGAGTGTCCTGGAGGAAGACAACTGACAGTTGGGGTTGCAGCTTCCTTCAGGTTTGGAGCCTCTGGGAAGGGAGGCCCCCTCTGAGGTCCCTGTAGTGGACACTGTTGGCACCCTGCCCAGACCCCTTTGAGCAAGCTGATGCACCGCTCCCACAGACGCCCCCTTCTCCAGGAAGTTGCCCTCACCCTCAGGAGCCTGGGAGGTTAGACCCTCCGTCCCCCTAGCTCACAGCCAATGACTGACTGAGGGGCTGGTGGTACAGAAAGGGCAGCCCCTTGCTTTAAGATGGGACCCGCTGTTTACCCCACCCTGTTCCTCTGACTTCCTTTCCTGAGGAAATCACATGCACCCAGATTAAGAAATTGAAAGATACACTTATCACATGACCCAGCAAACCTGGAGAGATGAAGTCTTATGTTCCCACTAAACCTGTGCATGAATGTTTGTAGCAGCTCTATTCATGATTGCCAAAACCTGGAAACAGCCCAAATATCCTTCAGCGAGTGGATAGAGAAACAGACTGTGGAAGGCCCATGCAATGCAATACTGCTTGGCAAAAAAAGAGAAAGAACTACTGATATGCACAGCCCGTTTGGATGAATCTCAGAAGCATTATGTTAAGTGAAAGACGCCAATCTCAAAAGCTTGCATTCCAGCTCTGGCTACGGAGAACTGATCGTTGGTTGTCAGGGGTGAGGAAGGAGGAGAGTGTGACTGTAGGAGGTTTTCTGGTGCAGATTGTGGTGGCCACAAGAATATATACATGTATTAAAATTCATAAGACTATATACCAAAAAATCAGTTTTAGTGTATGATAATTAAAAAAAAAATCACATATACCCCTGTCTCTGCCTCAGGAAGCCCCTCAACTTTGGCCAGAATGGCACAGCCCAAGGGGGTTGATTGGACGGTTATCATCCTGACATGCCAGTACAAGGACAGCGTCGAGGTCTTCCAGAGAGGTAGGGGACCCTCCTTCCCCACTCTGCCCTCATGTAGAACCCCCACCATACTCCTACAGCCCCGGGAGCCAGGCAGACCTGGGGTCGACCTGGGGTCAAACCCAGGTTCTGCTGCTTCCTAGCCATGTAACCTTAGACACATCATGTCACTTCATTGAGACTCAGTTTTCTCATCTATAAGATGGGAATAATTGTAGTACTTCACAGAACTGGGCAAAAATCTAATGAGCTACTACATGAAAAGCTACGGAATCAAAGAAGGTCAAATAATGATTATCAGTAGGTTTGTTTTAGGTGCTTAGGTCCAGGGCCGGGAGGCTGGGGGGCAGATCTTAGCTGTGTTCTGATCACAGAGCTGGAAGTGCGGCAGAAGCGGGAGCAGATCCCTGCTGGGACGCTGGTACTGGCCGTAGAGGACCCTGAGACTCGTGTGGGCAGTGGAGGCGCCACCCTCAATGCCCTGCTGGTGGCTGCTGAGCACCTGAGTGCCCGGGCAGGCTTCACTGTGAGTGCTATGCCTGAGTGGATTTGTGTTGGGGTCTCTCCCTGGACAAGAGGATGCCATCCTTGGGTGCCTTCTGCCCAGGTCTCTGTCAACAGGCCTCTCCCACTCTTGACAGGTCATCACATCTGACGTCCTACACTCAGCCCGGATCCTCATCCTGCATATGGTTAGTAGAATGCCCAGGTAGGGTGCCACGCAGAAGGCCGGAACCTTTAGTCCTCGGGGTTGGACAGGACTTGAGGGGTGTTGTACCTTTGTGTGTGTGCAGGGTTCATTGTGCAAACCCAGAAGAATCAGAATAAGTGTCCGAAAATAGGGAACTGGCTAAATATAAACAGCATCTCCTCCTGGTGGAATATTAGACAGTGATTAAAAGGCCCATCTAGTTCTATGCATTGACTGGAAAGAAACTTACCTTGGGCAAGTCACTTTGATTCTTTCTAGGCCTCAGTTTCCTCATCTGTAAAATGAGGTTAGCATCAGTTCCTGCTTCATGTGGCTGTGCTGAGATGATGCAGTCAATACCTAAAGCGGGGCTTGGCTTTATATAATTCCCAGTGTGTGTGTGTGTGTGTGTGGGCAGGGGGGTCTCTACCTTTTCAGAATCTCATTTTGTAAAAAAAATAAAATCAATGAAAGACTATGTGAATACAAGTTTAAAAGGATATCCTCAAAATGAGGGCAGTGGTTCTTATTCCTGAGGGATTGTTTTTCGTTTTGCATATCTGCATTTTTCTAACTTTTTGCCATAATCATGTAATTGAAAGAATTTTACGGGAAAACGCTTTTAAAAAGTCCTCTAGCTTTATGGCTTTCTGCCCTTGCACAGCCAATTGGCTGCCCCCAGCTCTTTGCCCCAAAGGCTTTTTTGCCTGTTCCTGCTTCCACCCCAGGGCCGAGACTTCCCCTTCGATGACTGTGGCCGGGCCTTCACCTGCCTCCCCGTGGAGAACCCCCAGGCCCCCGTGGAGGCGGTGGTCTGCAACCTGGACTGCTTGCTGGACATCATGAGCTATCGGGTGAGGCCAGCGGTTGCCGTGGGGCATTGTCCCTCTCTCACTGCACCATCAGCTGTAGTCTGTGCTGGCTCAGACAGTGGGCATTAGGAAGAATGGCTTGGGAGTGCCCAGAGTTAGAGCTTCAGGAAATTAGTGTTAGCCACACTGGGGAGGGAGGTGTGGCCCCGGGAGGTCGGCAGGAGGCTCTGGGAGGCCCCTATTACCTTCGCAGCCAGAATATCCCTGGAGCACGGGGACAGGTGGAGACTGGGCTGTGTGGGAGCAGAGGAAGGGCTGGGCCAGGCCACCAGCTGTGTTCTCTCTCCCGCAGCTGGGCCCGGGTTCCCCACCAGGTGTGTGGGTCTGTAGCACCGATATGCTGCTGTCTGTTCCTCCCAACCCAGGTGAGCCTGAGAAGGCTTGGGACTGCCTTCTGTTGTCATAGCCAGCGGTGGGCTCTGCCTTTCCTCACCCACCATTTCTGGGCCTGGCTCTCTGCCCTCTTCAGGAGGGCAGCTGTAGGATATGGAAGATGAAGCCCAGACTCCGAGACAGGGCTTCCCCTGCTGGGCCTCAGTCTGCCAGTCTATAGAGTGGACGGCTGTGGAAGAACTTTGGGAGGGGAGGCATTGTCATTATCTCAGAGGAATATCCGTTTCGCTTGGAAGCCATATTTCCCTTTTAGAGGTGCCTGGATGCCCCTGCCTTGACCTCTTGCCTTTACCTGGCTGGGGACGCCCTGCCTTGGATTGGGGCTCTCAGAGAGCCTCCTGACTGCCCCACCCACAGGGATCAGCTGGGACGGCTTCCGGGGAGCCAGAGTGATTGCCTTTCCAGGGACCACGGCCTACGCCCGGAACCATGGTGTCTACCTCACCGACTCCCAGGTAGTGCCCCTGGGGCGGTGGCATGGGCAGCTGAGCCAGCCTGGGATGGCATCCTGGTCCTGACTCTGGGCAGCCTCTGATCCTGGGCTTTCTGGCAGGGCCTGAATTCAGAGGCGTTTCCGCCATGGCAACTGCTCTTTTGCTCACTTAGTCTTTTGCCAAACTTGAATTGCACATGAACCCTGTGCCAAGCTCTGTGCTAGGACTGGGGCTGTGAAGACCTTCAAAGCCCGCCCTCTACTCTTGGAGGTGGGGCAGTGCTCCCTGGGAGCATGCTGCTACTTGTCAGGCATGCATCCTACGTTTCCATTTGGACAACGCCCTTGCTGTTCTACCTCCCTTCCTGATTCTTCCTTGCTCCGTCCCCTAACTCTCTTTTCTCTCCCCTATACAGGGTTTTGTTTTGGACATTTACTACCAGGGCACCGAGGCAGACATACAACAGTGTGCTAGGCCTGATGGGCGGGTGCCACTGGTATGGCTGCAGCACGGCTGGGGAGCTTTGGGGACCCCATGGGAAAAGAGGGAGGGTTAGCTTTTGACCAGCGCAGAGCCCCACTCCTTCTAGAAGATTCTGGGGCAGGATAGGGCCAGAATCTGAGGTGGTCTGGAACTGGCATTCAGAGGAGCAGGCGGTGCCAGAACCTGAGGAAGGGGTGTTGTCCTGAACCAGACAGGCTGGAACCAAAATGTGAGCATTGGGACTGCAGTTGGGAGGAAGTCTAGAACCCAACTCGGGGGGGTCCTTCTAGAATGAAGGACAAGGACAGGTGTGGCGGGTAAGGGCCTGGGTCCATACCATGGGGATGGAGAACTAGGTTTGAAAAGAGGCCTGAAATTTGAGGGGTGTCCCAGAAGGTGCCTGTTGAGGGGTCCCTGGGTGGTAGCTGCCCCCAGCAAGCCTAGATTCTGGGTGCTGGAGTGACCCAGAAGATGAAGGACCTGCCCGGCATGACAGCCAGCCTTGCTTGGCCCATTTGCATGTGTCACCCCAAGCCGGGCGCCAGGGTCCTCCCACATGACCCTCATGAGGGCTCCTGCAGGTCTCCGGGGTCGCCTTCTTCTCTGTGGAGACTGCTGAGCACCTCCTGGCCACCCATGTGAGCCCACCCCTGGACGCCTGTACCTACATGGGCTTGGATTCCGGAGCCCGGCCTGTCCAGGTGACTGGGGGTGGGGGTTGGAGGGCATGGCCTGAGGGAGAGGCCCTGACACTGGTGACCTGGGTGTGTGACCTCAGGCTAGCTTCTTCCCTTCTCTGGGTAAGCATCTCTGGGGATGGGACTGCCCCAGTTTGGCCAAGGAACCCCCCAATAGCTGTGCTTCCTACCCTTGCCCCAGCTGTCTCTATTTTTCGACATCCTGCTATGCATGGCCAGGAATGTGAGCAGGGAGGACTTCCTGGTGGGGTGGCCCCTGGAGGTGGGGCAAGGTGATGCAGACGTCGCAGGCTATCTACAGGGAGCCCGGGCCAAGCTGTGGAGGGAGCTTCGTGACCAGCCCCTCACCATGGGTGGGTACTGCTTCTTGGCTCTCCGGAGTGGGGAGACCATGGGGGTGAGGACCCCCAGATTGAGGCTGCTGCCTACCTTGCCCCCGGGCTTCTGGGCCAGGCAGGCCTAGTGCATGTACCGGACAATTACTGTTTCCCAACCCATAGCTTTGCTCCCCTGTGCCTCCAAATAACTCTTCCTTTCTTCCTTCTGTCTCATTCCTGGGCTCCAGTTCTAGTCTTTCCACTTTCTAGCTGTGTGACTTCAGGCAGGTTGCTGAGCCTCTGTGGATTGCAGCTTCCCCACTGGCACAGTGGGCTCATTGCCATGCTTGCCCTCCCAGGGCCTGATGAAGATGTGTCTTCTGGAGGGAGGCCTGGCCTGACATCAGAGCTGCAGCAGGCATAGGGTTGGGGTCAGTGCTTGTATCTTTACAGCATATGTCCCCGACGGCAGCTACAACTACCTGACCAGTTCGGCCAGCGAGTTCCTGCATAGCCTCACGTTCCCTGAGGCTCCTGGGGCCCAGGTTGTACATTCCCAGGTGGAGGTAAGACTTTCCTGGAGGTGAGGCCTGCAGAGGTGCCTGCTGGGTGGGTGCCTAAGCACAGGTGGGATAGGGGCTCCTGGGAAGGGGAGGAATAGCCCATTCTTGGAACAGATTATTTATGAGTATAGGTGTTATTATCCCCATTTCACACACGAGGCACTGGAGGCTCAGAGAGGTTACGTAACTTACCTAAGGCCACAGAGCCAGTAAGTGCCCAAGTCAGGATTCTGCATCCAGGTCTGCCTGATTGAAATGCTAGAGAAGAACCCCCACCCTTTCCTTGGGGTCTGCTTGGGGAGACAGACACATTTGAGGTGATGGGCCTGGGTCAGCGCCATGGTGCTGAGGAAGGGGACAGAGTTCACAGGTGGCCCTTGGGGAGTGAGGGTTGGTGGGAGAGGTTTTCTGGGGAAGCTGTCATCTGGTGGGACCTCCATTACTGAGTTCAGATTTGCTCTGGAGGAAAATGCAGGGAGAGTGTACTCCTGGGGGAACAGCTGGATGGGAGTCTGCCTGAGGCTGGGGCCAGGGCTGGTGCAGAGGGAACTGGCTGGCTGACGGGCATGGGCTGCGGCCTTTGCTGTGGAGGAGGATCAGGGCAGCCCCCGACTGTGGGCCCTCACGACCTTCTCCCTGGCTTCATAGGAGCCACAGCTACTGGGGGCTGGGAGCTCCGTGGTCAGCTGCCTGCTACAGGGCTCTGTCCGACTGGATCCTGGGAGCGTCCTGCAGCACTGCCACCTTCAGGTGAGGCCTAAGAGCAGGGCCAGAGGGAGGGCGGGGCTGCAGGGGCCAGGGCCTGTACATGTTGTTGGGGGGGTACCTGGGGCTACGCTGCCCACTCGGTGCCTTTTCTCTCCCCTGCCAGGGCCCCATCCACATTGGTGCCGGCTGCTTTGTGAGTGGCCTGGACATGGCCCAGTCCAAGGCACTGCATGGCTTGGAGCTGCATGACCTGGTCCTGCAGGGACACCATGTGCGGCTGCATGGCACCCCTGTCCGTGCCTTCACCCTTGTTGGCCGTATGGACAGCTGGGAAGTAGGTGCCCACCCTATCTTCAGGCTTTGGGGACTCAGGGGTCCCAGCCCAGTGCCCACTCCACTGTAGGGCTCTGCGAGTGTTGGACTGAGGGATAGACGGTGAGGAAGCCAGTAGAGTCTCACCATTGCTTTACCTCCCTCCTTATCTGCTCTGACAGGCAGGCTGGGTGGGGATTTTTATGGCCGTTTTACAGGCCAGAGACTGAGGTTCAGAGAGGGAGGTGACTGGCCTTGGCTGCAGAGCCAGTTATGGTAGATTGAGCCTAGAATGGAGATTCTGTGCCAAGTTGCAGGCACCTGGACAGGGCTGCTGCAGCCCCAGGGCTTGACGCAGTGTTCCAGAACTTGCTTGCATGTGTGCAAGTCTCCCTTCCTGTCCCTTCTTGAGCAGCTCCTGGCCCTCTGGCCTCAGTATCCCTAACCCCTTCCTGTGGCCCCTGCAGCCCTGACTGCTTCCTCCTCTTCCCCTAGAGACGGGGGACAGGAACATACCTCAACATGTCCTGGAGTGAATTCTTCCAGAAGACAGGTATTCGGTAAGGTGGATGGCTGCGATGGGCCTCGGCAACCAGGGCAGCTGATTCTTTGAGGCTCATCCCTGCCTCACCCCAGAGCAGCACCTGCCCTCCCACCAGCCCACAGGGACTCGGGTAGTTTTGGGCAGCCTGATCCTCCCCAGCACCTTACCCCTGGGCAACTCCTAATCCCTGGCTATGTGTAGGCTTTGGGAGTTTTGTTCAGAGGCCTGGGAAAGGAGGCAGGGCAGTTCCCCTCTTTCCCTGAATTGCCTGCTTGTGCTGCCTCTGCAGGAGTTTGTCCTGCCCCCGTGAATTAGCCAGCCCTCAGTTGACAGGTGGTCGGGTTGATGAGGAAACAGGAGCCCTTATTTCCCTCCCTCTAATATACCTTCTCCCCACATCAGAAACTGGGACCTGTGGGACCCAGACACGCCTCCTGTAGAGCGATGCCTTCTCAGTGCCCGCCTCTTTCCTGTGCTTCACCCCTCGAGGGCCCTGGGGCCCCGGGACATGCTGTGGATGCTAGACCCCCAGGAGGAGGGGGGTGAGGCTCTGTGGGCCTGGCGGGCCTCTTGGCGTCTGTCCTGGGAGCAGCTGCAGCCGTGTCTGGACCGGGCTGCCACACTGGCCTCCCGCCGGGACCTGTTCTTCCGCCAGGCCCTGCATAAGGCTCGGCACGTGCTGGAGGCCCAGCAGGACCTCAGCCTGCGCCCGCTGATTTGGGCCGCTGTCCGTGAGGGCTGTCCTGGGCCCCTGCTGGCCACACTGGACCAGGGTGAGTGTGCTGGGCATCCATGCTGGGAAGCCAGACGGAGTCACCTGCCTTACCTGCCCTCTAGGTTGATGACCTGAGGGTACTTCAAAGCAGGGGAGAGACACAGTGGAGTTTCCTTTTAGATTTCTGGGAAGCTTCATCCTTCCCAGCAGGGAGTTTGGTGAGAGGCTGAGGCCTGGGGCTCAGCCTCTGGGTCCTAGGAGCATCAGCAAACCCTCCATGTTCTCTACCGGGTGCTAAGACATAGGTGAAGAGCCCCAGAGCCCCAGGGGGATGTGGCTGGCTCTACCTGAGGGCTCAGGCACACTGGCTGGGGCTCAGGCAGCACCTCATTAATGATCCCCATTTAAGTTGTTTACCTACAGCCAAATAACTAGTTGGGGGTGGGGCTGAGACTGAACCCAGGTGATTTGACCCCCGGAGTCTGAGCTGCTGACCACTCTGGGCGTCCTGGGTGGAGGGTGAGAAGGCGTAACTGGGCTGGGGCCGGGGCTGGCAGGATGAGAAGAACTTCGCCAGGCAGAGGAGTGGGGCATGGGTTCACAGGCAAGGATACATCTTGGGCAAAAGTGGAGAAATGTGAGGGATCTGGAGTGTTTGGGGACTGTTGAATATTCTCTGGGGCAGATGGCATTGGGAGCAGGTCACCTCCCCAGCCACCCCTGACTCTGGGTCCCTCAGTTGCAGCTGGCACAGGAGACCCTGGTGTAGCAGCCCGGGCACTGGCCTGTGTGGCAGACGTACTGGGCTGCTGGGCAGAGGGCCGAGGTGGTTTACGGAGTGGACCAGCTGCCAACCCTGAGTGGATTCGGCCCTTCTCTTACCTGGAGTGTGGAGACCTGGCGCGAGGCGTGGAGGCACTTGCCCAGGAGCGGGACAAGTGGCTAAGCAGGTGGGCGCCAATGATGTCAGAACCCTTGGGAAAACCCCTGGCCATCCTTGGAGGTGGAAACCCAGAGAGAGGTGGGGTGGGGTACCCTCGGGTCACCGAGGGCAGTCAGGTCTCCAAACCCAGGCAGCCCACCCTCAGCTTAGGGCTCTATGCCACCATTTGCCCCTTCCCTCTTGGCAGGCCAGCCTTGCTAGTGCGAGCTGCCCGCCACTACGAGGGGGCTGGGCAGATCCTGGTCCGCCAGGCTGTGATGTCAGCCCAGCACTTTGTCTCCACGGAGCCCGTGGAGCTGCCGGCACCTGGGGAGTGGGTAGTGGCTGAGTGCCCAGCGCGCGTGGATTTCTCCGGTGAGCTCCTTGTGGGGTGTGGGGGTGAGGGTAGCTATCCCTGAGCTAGGTTGGCAGACCCTGTGACCAGCTTGGTCTTGTTCAACCGCCACAGGGGGCTGGAGCGACACACCACCCCTTGCCTATGAGCTTGGTGGGGCAGTGGTGGGCTTGGCTGTGCGAGTGGATGGCCGCCGGCCCATTGGGGCCAGGGCACGCCGCATCTTGGAGCCCGATCTGTGGCTGGCAGTGGGGCCCCGGCAGGATGAGATGGCCATGAAGATAGTGTGCCGGAGCCTGGATGACCTGCAGGATTACTGCCAGCCCCATGCTCCAGGTTAGGGCACCCAGGACATCTGCCGGTGGGGATGGCATGCACAACCAGCTGGGCGATGGGGGCAGAACCCTGGGGACCCTGCTGGCCATGGGGGCCTAGCCTGAGGGAAAGTCTGTTTGGTTGAGGAGCCCTGAAGTCACCCTGTCCAGCCGCAGGAGGTAGAGCTGGCACGTTTGCCGGTGTTGGGGAGCTGAGGCCTTTTTGTGGCTTGTTGATGGGGTCTGCACTACTGCTGGGCTTTTGTCCCCCAGATGAGTCCCATGCTGGCCTAGGAGATAGTGGAGGTGGGAAGGTATGTCTATTTCTGCCCTTGGAGACCATTACTTGCCGATGCTGGTCCCTCTGCAGGGGCCCTACTGAAGGCGGCCTTCATTTGTGCGGGGATCGTGAGTGTCCACTCCAAGCTCCCACTGAGTGAGCAGCTGATGAGCACCTTTGGGGGCGGCTTCGAGCTGCACACCTGGTCTGAGCTGCCCCACGGCTCTGGCCTTGGTGAGTGGGCCCTGTCCCCCTGCTGCCAATCCCTCCATCTCAGCCCTCCAGCCTCACTTTCAATCCTCCTCCCCACCTCTTTGCAGCAAAGGGCGTAGGTGGGGCAGGCAGGACTGGGCAGGACGGGGCTGGGCAGAGCTGTTTCATGCCTGGCGCCCTCCTCCCTGCTCGCAGGCACCAGTAGCATCCTGGCGGGCACTGCCCTGGCTGCCTTGCAGCGGGCTGCAGGCCGGATGATGGACACAGAGGCCTTGATCCACGCAGTGCTGCACCTGGAGCAGGTGCTCACCACAGGTACGGGACTGCTCATGGTGGGCGGGATGATGTCACTGGCACTTTCCTTCCCAAGGGCCTCCGGGGGCTGCCCTGGGCTTGCAGACAGCCCCATGCTGCGCTGCTCCTTCCAATGGTTAGAGCTTCCTTCTTATCACTCTGATCGTCTCTGGTGGTTTTCAAGTTGAAATGTTTCTACCTCAAAGGAGCTGATGTTTTAGGAGCACCTAGTAAGTGCCAGCTTCTGTACTACATTTCATGTTAGGTTTATGTGTATTCCTCGTGATTTTGTTGCCATCCAGGGCTGTCCCTCAGGGCAGGGCTGGGCAGAACTGGGTTTGGAATAGGGGACAGGAACTTCAGCTGGCCCTTCCAACCAACGTGCCCCTCCCTTGGCCTATGGTCATTTGTGCCCACCTCCCCGCTCCCACACTGGTCATACAGAGGGCTGGCACTGAGAGCTCAGAACGTGGCTGTGATCATAGTGGCATCTGCTAGCACCAGGCTCCTCTCTCGTCTCACCACTGTGGCCCCTTGGAATCCGTGCACAATGGGGAGCAGCCAGGTTTGTCTGGCCTGATCCTAGGGTGCTCTGCTCATCCCAGGATGCCAGTTCTCATCCTCTTGTGACTGGGAAGGAAACTGTCACAAAGATGCGTAGATGCCAGTTATGCTATCTTTTCTGGTCACTTTGCAGCCCAGCCTCCTCCTTTCATTGTAATGACTCACATCCCATAATAGGTAGTCATTAGCAGGAGGGGCAGATGGGGGGCCTTTTCAGGTTTCTTCTGAGGTGTACCATTCAAATCCTTCATTTGGTCAATTGACTATCGAGTATCCACTGTGTTGGGCCCTGGAGATAAAATAAGCAAAAACAGGGCCTTTGCCCTCAAAAGTCATATGGTCAATTGGAGACAGACATTAATCAATAGCCACTCGAGTGAATGTAATTAGAAGCTGCAGTTGGTGCTCTGAAGGAGAGGGGCACAATTAAGGAGTTTTTGACATTTGGAGCCCTACACTAACTACCTTAATGTTTTGGCTGTAAAGTTCCTGATGCCTCCTGCCATTTGCATTTTATACTTTAAATCCTTGTAGGCCCTTCCCTAAATATCAAGGGCCTGTCCTTGGACCATCTCAAGTTTTGTCGTTTTTAGAGCTGCAACAGGAAAAGCGATCCATACCTTTCATTACTAAAGCAGGGTGTGAACAGGCTCTTTCAAGTTTGATAAGGGATGCTGAAAGTTTATTTCCAACATCAGCACCCTTTATCAGAAGACAGGGTGCAGGGGAGTTCGGCTGCAAGAAAAGGCCTGTATCCTCTCTCCTTGGGGGAGAGGTTAGTGCAGGGTCTTACCCTTCGATGTGCCTTTACCCCAATTCCAACTACACATCACATCTCCAACAAAAGTTGGCCCTTGTGCATCCCAAGTTTGGTTCTGGAGTGAAATCCTTTCCCTTGCTGGGCTCATTCTACTCCCAGGGCTGGGGGCAGGAGCTGCACAGCACACTTGGCCCGGATGGAGGTGGGGGAACCCATCTTCCCATGCTGGTCCGTGCCAGGGGTACGGGACTGGGAGCCTGGGCTGGGAAGGGGAAGTTGGGTCAGATAGGCTCTAACAGTGACGGATGCTGGGCTCCCAGGAGGTGGCTGGCAGGACCAAGTGGGTGGTCTAATGCCTGGCATCAAGGTGGGGCGCTCCCGGGCTCAGCTGCCACTGAAGGTGGAGGTGGAAGAGATCACTGTACCCGAGGGCTTTGTTCAGATACTCAATGACCACCTGCTTCTGGTATACACTGGCAAGACCCGCCTGGCTCGGAATCTGCTGCAGGTGAGCCCCAGCCCCAGCGGGGAGGGAGGCACAAGGCTCAGCTCCTCACTGCACCTCTCCTGCCTCACCTGCAGGATGTGCTGAGGAGCTGGTATGCCCGGCTGCCTGCTGTCGTGCAGAATGCCTACAGCCTGGTGCGGCACGCTGAGCAGTGTGTGGAGGCCTTCCGCCAAGGTGAGGCGTTTCTTCCCCACGGGGGGGCACATAGGGAGTGAGTGCCTTGTTGCCCATGGGTCTGAGGCCAGGGGCTTTTGCAGACTTGGCACAGGCCCCAGGTATTAGGCCCCTGGGGTCTTCTCCAGGGTCTCACACTTAGGTGAGAGCCATATCTCAGGATAATACTTGCATCATGGGAAGGCCTCCAGCCCCACCTACCAGGAAGCAGATGAGGGAAGAGACTCAGCCTTGTAGCTGAGTGCCAGTGGGTCAGAGCTGAGCAGGGTTCTGAGTGAGTGGCTACACAGCTCATTTTCACTGAACACAGTGCTGGGCACTGTGCCAGGTGCTCTGTGTACACGAGCCCTCAAACAACCCTGTGAGGTGGGCTTTATCACTCCTATTTCCAGCCACTGGATAAGCAGTGCCTCTTGGCACTTTATGCAGTCCACACATGGGTACTGTGTGAATATCCTGGCTCAGGCACACCGCTTTCCTCTCTGCCCCCACCCCAGGAAGCCTGCCTCTGCTGGGCCAGTGCCTGACCTTGTACTGGGAACAGAAGAAGCTCATGGCTCCAGGCTCTGAGCCCCTGGCTGTGCGGCGGATGATGGATGTCCTGGCACCCCACGTGCATGGCCAGAGCCTGGCAGGGGCAGGCGGAGGCGGCTTTCTCTATCTGTTGACCAAGGAGGCGCGGCAGAAGGAGGCTGTGGAGGCCGTGCTGGCCAAGACGGAGGTAGCTTATGGTGTCGGGTAGAGGAGTTGGTGGGGGAGCCTTTACAGTGGCCCACTGGCTAACCAGGGGCTACTGCTCTAAGTTCCCCTGGCCCTGCAGCCTCGGTCCAGCCTCCAGAAGGCCTGACATTTGCTCAGAGTCCTCTAAACACCTCCTGCCCTTTGTTAACAGGGCCTCGGAAACTACAGCGTCCACCTGGTAGAAGTGGACACTCAGGGCCTGAGCCTGCATCTGCTGGGGAGTGAGACCTCAACCTGATGCCCCTGCCCATGAGGCATGTCCCTCTGCAAGAGGAGAAAACCTGGAGCTCCATCAGCCCCTCCCTTACGAGCACTCAGCCTCCAACTCCCCACCCGCCTCTTTGTGAATCTGCTCCCAAAAGTAGCTGACCTGAGCTTGGGCCCAGCCCCTTTGGGAGCCTGGTGAAGCAGAGACCATGCCTGGGAGCAGGACTCTGACCTCCTGGTTGACAGTGGCTTAGGCTTGGCCTCTGCTCCATCTGGACATAGGAAGGTCTTAGGACCTCAGTGTCCCTGTGGCCTTTACCAATTCCATGGCCCAGCTTGGGCCTTAACCTTCTCATGCTCCACGAGGGCTCTGGAAGAAGGGGATGACAACCAGAAGGGGATGACAACCAGCCTTAGCAGATGGCTGGGGTTCCTTGGTAAGGCTGACCTGAAGAGGCCCTTTGAGGCATTCCCTGTGGCCTTCCTTAGAGGCCAGCATTTGCCTGAGTAGAGACTTCATGTTCAACACCCACTCTCAGGCTGACTTGATGGGGAGTGGGAGCAGGGGTGGGAGTCCACCTCCACATCCACGTCTATGGCAGTGAGCCAGTGTGGTCCTACAGCAAGTCAGTGCCAACCCAGGCCTTAACCAGTAACACTATGATCTGTGCCACATGACCCATGTGCCTGTGAGCAGTGGGTTCTCAGGACTGCGACCTTCTTGGAATAAAATCACTTTGCCCTTCAAGGTTGTCCTCATAAAACTCTTGTTCCTGCTGGCAGCAATTCCCACTTCCCCTGGCACTGTGGAAAACTGCCCTGGGGATGAGCCAGCTTCTGGTGCGGAGGGCCCAGGAGGGGGATGAGGGTTTGGGATCGAATAAGGCGCCGGCTACCATGTGGGTCCTAGGAGTAGCCATGCATCACTCTGGGTGTGGGAGGAGGCTGAGGCTTGAGGCTTCAGGTTTTGCCTTCACGTTTCAGTGTAACCACTGGACCTGTCTTGCCCTGTAGCCTCCAGCCCTCCCTGGAAACAGCACACTGGCATCTCTCCAAGGAATGTCTTTAATTGGGGAACATACACATCACATCCTCTCTCTGGAGTAAACCTAATTCCCTAGGTCCCCAGATGCACCCAAGTCATTTAGGGCTGGCAGGGAAGCAGTCTGTTTGCTGCAGTGTCTGGGGAGGAGAGCATGGCCACCATGTCGAAGGCTGGCCTGCCTTGACTGTCTCACCTAATTAGGAGTCCGGGGGATCCACCTCTCTTGGTGGGAAGAGGCTGCCCACAAACCAACACCCAGCTAGGTCTGTGTGCAGAGAGTGTAGTTAGTTGAGGCCTTGTTTCCCTGCTGCCAATGGTGGAATGGTCTGGGCTGTCAGAACGTCCCCCCAAGCCAGACGGCTTGGCTAACTCCTTGGCTGTGGCCACTTAGGGAATGGCCGTGAAGCGCGATGGGCCAGGTGGGCTCACCCTGGCAGCTATAGGCGCAGTCTCTTGATGTCCTCACCGCGGAAGTCTACGCGCAGAGCCAGCACCTGGCGTACTTCAACAGGGGTGAGGCGCCACGTCAACGGGCCAGAGTTGGCGCCCCAGTAATCTAGGATCTCAGTCACCTGTGGGGAGAGCAGAGACAAGTCAGCAAGGAGGGGTCTATCCTGAGGGAAGGCCTTGGGCTCCATTAGATCAGAGCAGCAGTACCCAGGAAGGAGAAGGTGTCTGCAGGGCTGGGCTGCTGGCGGAGGCCTGGTTTTGAAGCAGTGGCAGGGATTCAAATTTTATCTCTGCTTCTCTTCCCAGACACCTTTCCCTGGCTAGGCTGAGGGAGCCCCACATACCCGCTCCAGATTGAGGATTGTAGCCATCTGGGAGAGCCGGGCAAACTTGTCTCGGATGGTCCAGGTGGTCACCGTGGTAAGGTAGGCAATGAGTGACCTCAGCTCCTTGTCAAACTGCAGACCACCCAGCTGCAGGGAACACAAGCCCAGTCACTGTTCATTGCCTGGTCCTCTGGCCTAGCAGAACTGGCCCCCAGCTTTCTTCAGTGTTGCGCTGCAAGGCCATCTGGACTTCAGATGGTACCCTGAGGCTCCAGTCAGCTCCAAGGCCCCAGAAGCCAGGGCAGGACTGGGTCTAGACATGTAGGGCCTGGGGTAGCAGACAGAGGGGATGCAAGTCATGGGGTGGCAGGACTCGTTTTCCTCAGAGAAACAACAGAGCTGGGCCCTGTGCTCCCCTGAACTTACCCTGTTGAAGGTGGATTTCAGCACCACTCTCTCCAACTCGACTGCAACAAAGCTGGTCATGAGGTTGGTCAGGCTGTCATAGATGACTGGAGAGAGGCTGGCCTACACACAGAAGCTAGACATCAGTGGGAGTCCCACCTACCCCCGTGCCTACACAGTGGAGTCTTCGGGGGTAGGGACAGTTACATGAGGCCATTGGGGAGTGTTTCTACAGGCTGGGACTTGGAAGGGCTTTCAGGCATCCCAGCAGGAGTGTGATGAGGAGCTGCAAGCTGCTGGTTTGGGCAGAGGTGGATTTCCATAAGCTGGTCTCTAGAATTCGTGCTCACCTTGAACTCCGCCATTTGCTGCTCCAGGTTAAGGATGAACTGTTGTACCCAAGGGTCATTGGCCTCATAGTCGTTGAATTCTTCCTATTGTTAGGAAGCAAGGTGGATCACTGGGGGCTTCTTCAAGAAGTACCACTCACCCCCATCCCACTTCACCCCTCTAAGAAAACAGGAGAAAAGGTCCTTCTTCCCCTGTAGCTTCTGATTCATCCAGCTGAAAACCAGCTTGGACACCCAGGCTGGCAGTAACTGCTGCTGCTTCTGCATCACACTTTCCACTGGCAAATGGCCCTGGGCTGCTATACCAGTGGCCCAAACAATATGATAAAGCTCCTTGCATTTTACTCCCCCTTGCATTTCATGTTCTACAGGAATAGAATCCTTAGGCTAGGAAAAAAAAAAAAAAAAGGCTACGTCTATGACAGGTAGAGCAAAAGGAGCTTCCATAAAGGTGGATGCGTCAGGTCAAGGCAAACACTCCCTTTAGGTGTTTTTCTGAGCCCTTGTGACTGCAGGAACAACCTGTTCCCTGGGAGGAAGAGAGTGAGGGAAGTGGGCCTGAGAAGCTATATATAAGGTCTTGTCTGTTCAGGTAGCTCCACTGCCTTTCAGCTGGGGGCTGGGGAACACAGGGTTAATCCTGGGCTTGATGACTGATTGCGGTCAGGCTGACCTCCTCGATGTTGTGGGAGACAGAGAGAAAGTTGTTGATCCAAGGCTGCACCTGCGGCTTGACTGCTGTGTTGTTTAGCTCGGTCAGCCCTTCCTGTGATGGACAAGGCAGAGACGCGTCAGACCCAGAAGGCACACCCCACCCTTCCCCTTCCTCCTGCCCCGTCCATCCTGTGACTGCCAGGGCACTCTTTCAGCGCTGAGGCCATCTGCAGTCCCTGTCTGAAGTGTGACAGAGGTAATGCTGATAAAAGAAGCCAGGAACATCGGTTCCTTTCTAGATCTGTGCAGGCTCAGGTCCAGGCCAAAGATAAAGCCTGTGGGTTAGTCTGTAAACTGTCAAGAGATTTCTAAGTGCCCGGCACTAGGCAGTACTTGCGGCTAAGGCCAAGCAACAGGTCTGAGTAACCACGTGGTTCCATTTCCTTGGCGCACCTTCCGAGGGTTCTTGGCACTGTGGGGACCAAGTGGAGATTCTAGAGGACCAGAAGGCTAGCTAGTCAACATGACAATTGCTGAAAAACCAACGGGGCCTTTCATCTCAAGGGACGTGTACAACTTCAGTGGCTTGCACACTATGCTCCTCCCTGTTTCTTTACACATGGAGCCCAAGATAAGCCAGTAATAATCTTCTCAGAGCAACACACAGGTGCAGGATTCAGCCAGCAGCTGAACCTGGGGCTTACCTGCAAGAGGTCCCGGAACTTGTTGGACACAGCAGCCAAGTCAGAAAGACAGCTGTCAAACTTGGCCTGGGCTTGCTCTCCTCCAAAGCCCTGGCTGAACAGCTTGGTGCAGTCACTCTAGGGGAGAACACCCAGCTTTCAGGCTTCTGAGCATGGGCCGTACGAGACGGGGGAGGGCAACACGCAACTAGCCATTTCTCCTACTCTGGCCTTCTCTGGGAGTAGCTAAGGCTGATCCTAGGCAAGAGCCCGGATGGGTTTCAGAAAACCTGGGTTCTATCTTAGGGGCTAGCCACTTGGTTCCCATTTCCCACTTAGTAACCTGGGGGTACCAGTGTCGGGATGTGAATAAGAAACACAAATGCGAGACATTTTTTCATACCTTCAGAGTCAGACATTCCTAGGTTCAAATCCTGAGTGACCTTGGTCAAGCGATTCAGTTTCTGAACTTCAATTTCCCTGTCTATGAAATGGGAACACAAATTCCTGCTCCCTTGGTAGATGTGGGAGTTGGATGAGATGATGCACCAAGTGCTTAGCCCAGTGCCTGGTATGTGGTGGCACTAAGGAGAGTAGCTACTGCTATAGTTTCTGCTTTTTAAATATTGTGGCCTGGCAGCCCAAGGGAGATTGTCATGATCACAGCTAAGGTTTAAGTGCTTACCATGTGCCAGGCCTTGTGTTAAGTATTTTCTTCTTATTAAAGTACCTATCTTATGAAGTAGGTACTATTATTATCCCTATTGTATAGATGAGGAAACTGGGGCGCAGAGAAATTAATAACTTACGTAGAGACACACAGCAGTAAATTGTGGAGCTGGAATTCAAGCTGGGTATTCTGGCTCTAGAGCACCTGTTTCTAATCCCCACACAAGAGCCCAGGTGTAGAGAAAGGGTAGTCTGGCTCTAGAGCACCTATTCCTAATCCCCACACAAGAGCCCAGGTGTAGAGAAAGAGAACTCCACAGGGGGAGCTGCTCGATTGAAGCTCATCATGTTTGGGTTGCCAGCTGCCCACATTTCTTGGAGCCTCCTTAGAAAGTTTGTGCTGTTTTGGCTACAGCAGGAATAGCAGTGTGGGCGAGTTGCAAAGGGACTGATCTAGCAGGCAGCGGTACTCTGTTCCTACAGCAGCTCCAGTCTTTACTATCTTTAGTCATCTAACCTCACCTGTAAAATCGACATGACCTGCCTATCTCAGATGGTTGCTGATGGGTTGAGGAAGAACACACGTGAAATGAAAATCTAAAGGGGGTAGGATTTATGGGAATTGTCTTTAGCTTTTTGCTAGCCCTCCTTTCTTTCATTTAGCTAATTCTACCAGCTCAGTTTTGAATTCCTAACATTTCCCAAAATTTTACTTCAAAATCTAACAGGCTAATGTTAAGAATGAAGTCAGGAATAGAATTTAAGATGCCATGACTTAAAAACAATGACAGTCACCTTGTTGAATACATACCATGGGATAGACACTATGCTATTGGTACTTTGTGGATAACACTCTTATTCTATTCTAAGGGTTTTGGGGGTAAATTCCTAATCTAGCAGTTTATAGTACCTTACTCTCTCTACGCCTCAGCTCCACTGCTGCCCCTCAAAAATACCCGTCAGCTGCTGGGCCCTCTTCCCTGTGTGCTGGCCCCCAGCCCCCTCAGTCTGCCCAGCCCTGAAGCTGACACCACCAGCCTGCACGTTGAGACCTGTGCCCCTGCAGCAAAGCAGCCTCCTTGGCGCAAGTGCCCACTAGGAGGCAGGACCCTGGCTGCCTCCTTTCTTAGAGGCGGAGTTTGGGAGTGGGAAAGAGTTGGGCTACT